AAACTCGGTTTGGTTATTGTGCTTGCCACATAAAAGCAAAACGTTGAAAATTATTGAAATCGGACTAAAATTACGGCTTTTTATATAACGGTAAACTTTAGAAATGCTTGAAACTTCAATATTTCGAAATTTAAGGACGCTAATTTACTCAAAATTGATACACCCCGGCTTACCATGTAGCGGTAGCTTTCTGAAAGGTGAAAAACATATATTTAATATTTGCGCCGGTTATTTAATGTTCGGCTCCGCCCGAACTTAGACTTTCTTACTTGATTAACTATAATTTTATTTATTTTGAAATCAAAATATATTTTTAAGAGGTCACTCAAAGCGCTCAAGTTTTCCATATATTTTATATGGGAAAAAACCACTTTTCGTAGAAATGGTTTAGAATTCTTGAAAATAAATATTTTTCGATCGGCAAACTCTGTTCCTCTTCAGAAGATTCCCAATAATATTACCCAATTATTTGTTTAACAATTTTTTTATAGTAACTATATTTTATAGGTCGTTCTGGCCGACCCCAGAAAATCTCAGAAAATGCAATGGGGGAAAAAATAAAAAATCTTTGGCATTAAAAAACGGTTAAATAAACAGTTGGGTATTGTTATCGGGAGTCTTCTGAAGGGAACCACTGTTTCCTGATCGAAAAATATTGATTTTCAAGAATTCCGTACCATTTTACGAAAAGTTGTTTTTTCCCCATATAAAATACATGGAAAACTTTGAGCGCTTTGAACAACTTCTAAATATTTTTTTAGTTAAAAATAAAAAAAGGCGTGAGTACTAGGTTGTCATGAAATTTGATGTGTAAAAATTTGCGCACGGTGGTCTTCAACCAGTCTTAAGTTTTATAAAAGTGTGTCTTTCACAGCCTTTTTCTACATCATCTCGAGGTTCAAAATCCTTCGATGTCCAAATCGTAGCTGATCCTTTTTTCGAGATATTGACATTCTTATATTTTACTTTTTAAACGCAATAATCCTTGATTTTACTAATACTTATCATTATAACAATGCAGGAATCGTATAAAAATTTTGATACAAAGGTTATTTTATATATGTGTGTATATATGAACATACATATATATAAATTATATACACATGTGTACATATTTCAAATTCGAATTAGACGCAACCATAGAGCCTGTCACATTACGAGAATTGTTTTAAAGCTAAAATTTGAGTATTATTGGAATATGAAAGTATTATCAAGATCTATTGTACTTAAAAAAGCTTGATGTATAAAGCTGAGTTATGTGAACCACGTTCAGAGTTACTCAAGGCCAACGATGAGAACGTAGTGGTTATATGGTACCGTTATTATCATCTATATACTTCAAACCTTCTCTAACATGAGCAAAAATAACAAGAATTTTTAATGTTTTGGAATCTTTATTAATGCTCGTAAAACCATATACAATTTATTCATGTACTTGTCTAGTGCACCTGTTCCCAAACTTTTAATATAAAGGAACCCTCACTAAATACTTTTCATTTTATGGGGCCCACATCGAATTACTAAACATCAAAAGCATCGCTATTTAAATATGAATAACAACTTTTACTAGAAGTGTACATATATATAAATATTTACTATTATAACTTTTAATGTGAAGAATGAAGATGTTTAACTGTTTTACTAATTATTGCTTTATAGTTCGGTATTATGCCTAAAAGCTGTATGCGCATTTCTGAAGTAGCATTCAATTTCAACCTCAGTTTGTTTTTTGTATAATTGTAAGCTGAAAACAATGTTTCATAACGACACGTTGTGAAAGAAGGAAGCATAGATAAGATAGGCTTTTCAGGTAATTCATGGTATTCACTCCTAAAACTAACCCAAAACTCATTCAGAGGCACAGACTGAAATGTGTGTTTCAATGTCGAAAAACTCTGAAGATCTATGAATGCTTCGTGAAATAATCTGACAAACATTGTTTATTTATATTTGGCCGTTATTTGAAGATTCTGTTGATTTTTTTGAGCTCAAGGCCGGGTTGAAATAAAACAATCTGTTTTTGTTGTTTTTAAATCGTCTATATTTCAACTTCAGTCTGAAGTCATCATCAGGACTGCTATAAATATCTTAATTACCAAAATTGCATAAAAAACTATCAACATACTATATATAAGCACAACTTACACATTCGGCTGCGCCTGGTAGACTAATGTGTGCAAACAACAAAAGATGTAACAAACCAAACAACTAGACGAAATGGACATAAATAAATAATATAAAAAAAAACTTTTTAATATACAACGATTTTATAAATGGACTAAAAAGTAGAAAATAATATTTCTCAGTCCCATTGAATTTGTTTTGATAACTTTTGATTTTGAAATTTTAGCAAAAGTCGTTATAAACAACTTATGAGATTGAAAATGAAAAGCGTGGGGCGCATGTAATACAAAGCATTATATTTAATTGACAATAGGCAAACTAGATAACATAGACCTAAAATTTCTTCAGCGAAAGTACAAATTTGAGATCGATTTTAAGCGGTCGTTATTCATATATCCACATACATATCATATATTACTCTTCATATC